GAGTTGATATTTATCAATTTACACGATAACTTATTTTAAATTGGTGATTTCCCAAAAACGAAAAATTACACGAATAGATATTGTATTTTTTGGCTTGGGCACACAAATAATAGAAATTTATCTCTCATATGTTACTAGAGAATCAGCCCTCATTGAACTATTCAATAATAAAATGGCCCGTGAATTATTTGATATTTTAATATATGAGATTAGATGAATTGGCCCTCCAAAAACAAGTTTTTTTGTAAATGAAGAAAATATTAGTCCAAGGTATATAATCGATAAAGAGTTGGGACAAATACACTGATGTTTCTCTGCTAAATTTTGCTGATTCAGACTCCTAATCAAAACACATTCAAATATTATGAACACCCTAATTATTTTTAAAATTAAAGAGGTGATATTTAAAACCTAATTATAATTAAGTCCTTATATATGTCTCGGTTCGGTTTTTACTATTTGTATTATCTTTTTGGTAAAAAAGAAAAGTTTCGTCATGTTCATTATATGGTGAATACATTAAAATAGACCATACTATATCTTTAAGCAGTTGTGCAATATCCTTCTTAATTGTTTAATTTTCTTAGCATAATTTATCAATAATTGAAACTAATTTTCATTTATTTATAATTTAATGTATTTATCACGAAATTAAATTTTTTATTATATAATATAATGATTTAATATTAATTTTTATGAATTTGACTTTATTATTAAGAAGAATCCATAGTTATTATTCTTTTTTAAATGTGTTAATTCCCAAACAATATTACGTAGGCAAAAGTTTTACACCAAAACTAGAGTTTTAAATATATTAAATTACAAGGATTATCATTAATTTTAAGTCCCAACATAAAATAGTTTTATAGATTAATGTTTAAATACTAGGATAGATTCAAACTTCAGATAACCTAATTATTCGATATCAAGTTTAATAATAGTGACTTAATTGATCTATGCGTCTAAAATATATTTTGCTTTAAATTTTTTCTCAATTCAAAAATTTGATGTTTTTTGCATATTGATAATAGTTACAGTATACATAATCTATAAACTATTATCAACAATAATTATAATTTACTCTATGTATTCATTTAGAAAATTTATTATGAATATTAAAATAAGAATAAATATTATACAATTCTGTACACATTCAAATTTATATTGTGTGTTACAATTTAATCTCTTTTTCAATTATGTAGTTTATGCGCCAAGAATTAAAACTACATATTTTACAATTATAATGATGAGAAAATAGTGGAGAGAAATATTTGTCTCGGGCCGATCGAATGTCTCCTATTTCCACAACAATTGGAAAAGGATTCCATCTCTAATGAAAAAGAAAAATTAATCGAAGAATTACTATGCAATTTCAAATGTTTGAGTTATGTGCTTCATTTATTGCCAAGGAATACAAATATTTGTAACAATTGCCACTATAACTGACATATATCAAGTCTCTCCTAGGATTTACATTTATTACTTATATACCTTATAACCTTTTGATGTATATTTATTACTAATTCAGTTCCCTAAATTAAGAATATATTAAAATCTAATATATAATATTTTAATTTATAAATTGAAAATTCCTACTATAAGAATTACATTAGGAAACCCTGATCAGCTATATATTATTAATTATAATTTTGAAAAACAACTATTATTTCTTGGCGAATATAAATGAATTTATGAATTTTTATAATTATTGGTTATTGGTTTTATAAAAATAAAAAAGTGATTCTTTAAATATTTAATAATAACATAATTATTTCTATAATTTAATTTTTGGTGGTACTAAATCTAAAAATTAAGTGTATACTTGATTAATTATATGATGCTTCCAATGGAACACTTTTTTGGTGTAATCTGATCCAAATGAGATTTTACCACAATAAATAATTAAATTTAAGTACATATATATACAAAAATTACTAATAATAAAATTTTAGTTTTTATTATTTATATTTCACAATAGAATTTAAAATATTGTATAATAAAAAAAGGATAAAATACAATATTAAAAACCAATCTATATATTGAAAATTTAAAAATTTATTTATAATGATAAATTATTTTATATAGAACTTCAAATAATAATTAAAATGACGGTTATTTAAAACAATTTTTATTTACATAAAAATTGATTGGCTTTTTCATTGTATTGACATACTATTTATGAATTATTTTTATAAGGAATCATAAACTTTATTATTTGAGAATTATTCCTTAACTTTAATTTAAAGACAAATGTTGTTTTTTGGTATTTATATTAACATAGTGATGTATGATCTCAGTGTGTTTTGAGAACTAAACATGTTTCGCGTTACTATAAACTCATTTTTTTTATCTAAATATAAATATTAATGCATAAGTTTTGTTTAGATTAAAAATAAATACAAGGGTTAATTTGTATTACAATTTTGTTCCACAAAACTATTGCCAATGCTACTTCTTATGTATTAATTCTATTTTTGATATATGAAGTAGTATTATAATAAAGTTTTGACAAATCCCAAACATAATCTTTTAGCCCCTTAAATTAAGCCATTCATTAACAATCTTCAACCCCCTGCCTCAACCCAAATTCAATATCTATATATTAACTATAATGAAAATAATAAATAACTTTATTTTTACTGCTAGATAAAAGAAAAAAACAAAGAAGATGATGTAATTGATAATGGAAAATCACTTTAACTACTGTCGCCAGTATTCTTATCCAGTATATCAAATAAGGAAACAATTTGCACAAACTCTAGTTCTTGGAAATTTAAAAAGTGACCCAAATAGAAAATATATTAGGTCTAGTTTTTTTTCAGGTTTCCTAATTATTTATTTTCTTTTAAGTCAAACATATAGGATAGAATAGAAAAATATCAGAAAATTAGAAATGCCATAATTCCATCAATAGATCATCTATTTATTGTAAGAAGAGATATAAATCTCTTATTAAAATTAAATGATAATTGCAAATTATTCAGTAACAAAAAAAGAAAATAATAAATTATTATTAAGAATAAATTTTTTTAAAACTTACCTAACAAAAAAAACGAGTAATTATATATAGATATATATATATCAATAAAAATTATATTTTTTTAAAATTAAAAATTTCAACTTTTATCGTCTTACTGTTAATATGTAAATTTTATTTTTAAAATTTACTTTTTAAAAAATATATCCAATTCAAATCTTAAAAAACATAAGAAAATAATTAATAAATTAAATATACTTTTTTCTAATTTTTTTAACCTCTCTTCTAAATAAAATATTTATCTTCTATATGAAAATTTATTTATTTTTAAATATCCAATCAAATCATACAAACAAAAAGAATATTAATAAAAAGAATATTATTTTATTTATTTTATTCTATATCCTAAAAGAAAAATATTTAATAATAAAAATATAAAATAATTTTCAAATTCTCGTTATCATATATATATATATATTAAAAAATAAATTTCGTAAAAATAAAATTTAAAATTTTAAAATACTTACTTATTTATATGTATTTTTTGAAAAAATAATTTTTTTATTCATTAGGAGATCTCATGGACCGAAATATACTGTGAACTACACAATAAGGAAAATCCTCCATTCACCAAATTGATGAAAACACTTGTGGTCGAGAGGATTCGAACTCGAGACTTCTCACTCCTTATATAAGTGAGAAGACAAATCAGATCATATATGATTGACTTAAAAAATAATTTTTATAAATATATTCGATTAATAAAATGTAATTTTGTAATTGAATACGACTAAGGTTGTTTTTGGATATCGTAATTTTCATTAAAAGCCCTATTAAAAATCTCATTATTTTCTTTATTTTTATATTTATACATATTATAGATAGACATAGAGATATAGATATATTATAAATTATAGATTATAGATAGAATAGAAAATTATCTATTAATTTTTATATAAATAAGCGTATATTGGATTCAAGATTTTCCTATACTTGTCTTGAGCTGAGCATTCGGTCGCGGATTTTACGCACGGCAGCGAGGCTATTTTGCTGACAAGCCTCAACAAGTCATTAAAAAGCTGAACGGAAAGTACGACACTTATCACTTCACCAATCACTATCCAAAAAAGTACTGCATTCTTTTGTTCCATTGCACACAACTTAAATTCGAATACGACACACATCAAGTTATTATTAATTTTTTTTAATTTTATTCTTAAATCTGGATTCTAACAGCAATTAAGCAAATTTATTAACATTTATTTATAATTTTATTAATAATTTTACTTATAATAAGTTAAACTTAACTTTACCAAGAAATTACTCAAAATGTTACTACATCATTGGCATGAGTTCTATATACTTCTAATAAAATCTAAGCCAGAATGATAAAAAGAAAATACATTCTATTACTAATTTGATATTAGAATCGATTTATTTAATTTCTTTCTTTTTAATTAAGAGATTTTAGATTAAGCTTTGAAAATTAAAATTGTCTATTGGCATTCGGTGCGAATATTGCTATTTAAGAAAGACTTTTGGATACTAAAGTTACAGAAATAAAAAAAGAAAAAAGGAAAAACAATTCAATATTGCTATTTAAGAAAAAGGAGGATGTTACCCATGGTAAAAGTACGACCCATTCCCCCAATCAAGAAGAAGAGGTATTTAATTAAATCAATAAAAAAAGGAAAAAAAAAAGGTCCCAAGTAGATGAGGAGTTGGTTTCCCACCTAAATTGTTGAAGCATGGAAACAAGAGAAACCCTAAAACCCCAATTTGGCGCCAGATTTCAAAACCCACAAGAAATCCCTACCCACCGTTTTTTTTTCCCAAATCCAAACCCTATTCCAGTTTCTCTCTCCTCACTCTTTTATTTTTGTTCCTCGTTCTATGTAAAAATTAGTATGTGTTCGTAAAAAAAAAAGTCTCGCTTTTGCTGAGTACTTCCTGTGGGAATCGATCTGTTCTTCTTGACCAGAGAAGATGGAGATAGCGCCGAGGGAACTTCCGGAAACGGATGGCAATCCGCCTGCAAATTGCGAGTGTGAGGAGGAAAATGGGAGCGATTATGTTCTCCCATACGGAAAGAAGCAATCTTTAGAAAATCAAGAACCTGACGATGAAACTGGCATAGGAAACGATGAGAAACTGGGAGTAATTAAAGATGAAGTGGCTGATGGGAAGGATTCTCGTAGAAGGGGTGGAAAGAAAGGAAGCAGATATGTTAACAAAGATGAGGAAATCGCAGACAAAGAGCAGGAAAATGGACAAGTTGTAGAAAGTGAAGGAACTTCTTCAAAGAAAAGGGGTAGAAAGCCTTGGGAGAAGACAAATGAAATATCTTACAGGAAGAGACTAAGAGCTAATGAAAAGAAGGTTAGCTATGCTGAGGATAGTGAAGAAGATGAAGATATTTCACTTAGGAAGAAGCGGAGTAGAAAGGGCAGAAAAAGCGTTACAGTCACAGAAAGAGATGGTATGGAAACATTAGAAAGTAATGAAAATGGAAATTCTGTTGAAGGAAATCAAAAGAAAGCTACGCAAACAGGGAAAAAGAGGCACAATAAGAAGAAGCGTGATGATCAAGTGGATCCTCGGACTATCACTGGTAACACGGTTGATGCATGGAGGGCTCAGAAAACCTCGCAGACATTTAAAGAGGTTAAAATTAAAAAGCACACAACAGAAGTGACTAATTTTCTGTGTTGTCTGTTGTTAATATTGCCTTCTGTTTATTCTTGGTGGTTTTGTTTCTGATTTTTGTGTTGCAGTTCGTTGCGGAGGTTTGCGTAATGTGCCATCAGTGCCAGAGGAATGACAAAGGTGCAGTTGTTAGGTGCCAGAATTGCAAAAAGAAGCGTTATTGTCATCCCTGCTTGTCAACGTGGTACGGTTTTAGTTTCATTTGTCCATATCACATCATATGGAAGCGGCAGATTTTAGATAGCTAAGCTTTTTACATTTGAACTGCTTTTAATGCTTGAAACTTTTGTGGCATTAAACAATTACACTTGAATAATTAGTTGTATACTTGATACGAACAAACAGTTGAAATAAATGTTTGAAGGAAAAGTATATAATGAATTCATTGCTAAAGTTAATTTATTGTTAAACCAATGATACAATAAAGCTGCCAACTTTGATTAAAAAGAAAAAAGAAAATACAAGACTACATATTAGGATTAACTATGTCTATAGTAATAATGCTTATGCATATCCTGTGTTGATAGCTAGTTTTAAGTGGTATGTTGCTGTATTATTACCAGTCATTGCTCTGAATTTCATTAATTTATACATTTATTCTATTGTTTGTGTTTATGTTTTTCTGTTGGTATTTGACAGTGCAAGTTATTATGACTTTATGAGCCTTGATAATGCATTGATATTTTTCCCTTTGATGTTTTTTCTGCTAAGATATCTAAGCTAAAAGTTCAATAATCTAAACTTAGGATTTATTCTGATCACATGCAAGATGTAGCACAAAATGGGTTTACTAAAAACTTGTGTTGAATAGGATAATTATTTTACATGATATTATGTTGATTTTACTTTTGAGTTCATTTCACCATTAGCGTTTTTGTTACTAAAGTCATTTTTTTGTTCATGCTATAGGTATCCTAAGATGACACATGGTGAAGTTGCTGAAGCTTGTCCAGTTTGTCGTAAAAATTGTAATTGCAAAGGTTGCTTGCGTGATACTCCAGCCAAAGTTAGTTCTTCTTCCTAGCCACAATGAATGATCCATTGCTGTTTTCACTATTTGCAGTAAACAATCAAGAGCTTGTCATGTTTTTTTATTTCTTCTATTTTGGTATTCTCTGCAGGAGCTGGAAAGTCTTAAAATGCTCCAAGTCACTGATGATAAGAAAGTTTTGCATTCTAAATATTTGCTTCAAGCACTTCTTCCCTTCTTGAAGCAGTTAGATGAACAACAAATAATGGAGCGAGAGATCGAAGCTAGGATACGAGGTACTTAGGGTTTGTGCTAAATACTGTTTGGAACTAATGAGTGAGTACTTTTGCACTTGCTTAGTTTGCATTCCAAAATACTGTTTCAGGTTTGTTTGAAAATCATAAAGTCTGTATATTTAAAAGTTACATTTTGTGTTTTGTTCCTATCACTTGGACGGTCAAGTGCCGAAATCATAAAACTTATTTGCTTGTTCTTTCTTTCTTTTTTTTTTTTTTTTAAAGTTTTTTGATGGTGTTAGACATAGAAGATATTTTTTTACTAGTTTCTACAGTTGCTTCCAAAGTCATTACAGTTTTCAGAAAAGCAGGTATATTAATCAGAGTGAGACTGGTTAAAAAAGTTGCTCTTTGTTTTTTTGCTTGTTCTTTTCTGGGCATGCGTGTTCTGAGCTTATCGCGGAGAAACAGGTGGATGCCTACTCTTGTGAGTTTCTCTATATGAGCTCATGCATGGATCTTTAGGTCAGCTTGTGGGTTTTGTATTTTATTAAAATGACTGAATTTTTCATTTGCGTAGGTGTGTCACTTGCGAAGTTAGAGATTCAAAATGCTAATTGCCCTATGGATGAACGCATGTACTGGTAAGGCCTTCTCTAGGTGTCGAATTTCCCTAGTTTCCCTCTAATTTGGTAAGGGTTGGAGTTAAATGCAGTATTTATTGTGTTCCATCCTTTACTTTTTCTCTTTGTTGCAGTGACAACTGCAGAACCTCTATCTTTGATTATCACAGAAGCTGTTCAAGCTGCTCTTCTGATCTATGCCTTATATGTTGCCGGGAGATCCGTAATGGACAATTGCAGGGTAGTGGTCCGGAGGTGGTTATGGAGTATATTGATAGAGGGTTTGAATATTTGCATGGGGGAATGGGGGAAGTCAATTTAGCAGTTGAAAAGCCACCTGAAAATAGTTCTAAGGATTTCCCAAGTTCAAACTTCGAATGGAAAGCAAATGAAGATGGAAGCATTGTTTGTGGTTGTGGTTTTGGCATCCTAGAGCTGAAATGTTTGTTCTCAGAATATTGGGTTTCAGAATTAGTTAAGAGAGCGGAAGTTGTTGCACAAAGATATGAATTAGACGAGGTTAAAAATCCAGCTGAAAGATGTGCCTGTTTTAACTCCAAAGGAGATCTTGACTTGGAAAATAGTCAGTTGTTAAAAGCAGCATGTCGTGAGGATTCAGAAGACAATTATTTATACTATCCTAAGGCAAGAGACATCAAAGAAAATGATCTGAAGCATTTTCAGTACCATTGGACGAGGGCTGAGCCTGTGGTTGTTAGCAATGTTCTTGAAACTGCAACTGGCTTAAGCTGGGAACCAATGGTCATGTGGCGTGCCTTTCGCCAGATAAGAAATGAAAAACATGGCACGCTTTTGGATGTGAAGGCAATTGACTGTTTGGATTGGTGTGAGGTCAGTGTAGTTTGGATTGATGACCATAGTAAATGTTCTAACTTTAACTGCTTTGTCTGACGCTTGCATTTATTCATAATATTTCATTTCTATGTTCACCAAGAATGCTAATGCATTAAGTTAGAGGGAAGATCTGTTGTCTTTATGGCTATGTTGAGTTAGTCTATGTTACTGTTATTTTCTTTTGAAGTATAACACATTTTTAACAATTTGTTTCAAGCGCTGAATATTGATGCTAAAGCATCAAGTCAAACAGTATTGTTTGTTATCTTAGGATACTGATAATGAATTATTTGTTTCCAATTATTAGCTTCCAGTCAGTTATTCGACATTAACCTAATGCCTTCTCACACTAATACTGGAAACATGGATTGTTTCTTATATAAATGACAAACATAGATGCTTATATAATTGACAGTATATCTCCACTTGTTTTAGAGGGTTGGTAATGACCATTGGTGGGGGTGGTGGTGCAGTCTTCTAGTTTACTAATAACATTTTGTCATTGCATCTTATATTATCATTTTTTTAAAAAATTTCTTTTTATTCTAACCAATTCTTGTATCCTTTTTTGTCCACAACAATTTGTGTGCTTATATTGAAAGGTTTTTGCAGTGAATTATAATCTAACCGGCGATGGTGAAATCTTCATGATATGCAGGTAGATGTTAACGTCCATCAGTTCTTTCTAGGATACTTGACGCCTGAATTTGACATAAAGAATTGGCCTCGGATACTGAAATTGAAAGATTGGCCTCCATCTAGCATGTTTGATGAACATCTGCCACGACATGGTGCTGAATTCATCTGTTGTTTGCCCTTCAAGGAGTATACACATCCTCAAATTGGACCTTTGAACCTTGCTGTCAGATTACCCAAGGAGTCTTTGAAGCCGGATATGGGGCCCAAGACATATATTGCTTATGGATGCCATCAAGAACTTGGTCGTGGAGATTCTGTAACAAAGCTTCATTGTGACATGTCTGATGCGGTATGCTCAGTGTTCTTTTTCTCTTTTGTATTTTTTGATTTCTGTAGCTAGAACTAGAAACTCAAAATGGAATGGGATTAACTGTGAGATATATTGTGTAATCTGTACTGCACTGCCCCTGTGATTAGAATACAAAAAAAAAAAATCTGAAACATCTTGATGAAACGGCCCATGCAATGTAGATATTACTGCAACCAATTTGTCTAAACTGTCTTGCATTCAGGAAGTTTGAATAATCTATTATTAGTACACCTATTCTTGGAATTCAGTTGAGGTCGGTCTAGGCCTAGTTTATTAGCGGCCAGCTGTGTTTGAATCCTTGGAAATGGTCCATATTTGAATAAGCGGTTAATGTTGGTGTCGTGAGTTCTAATTCTAGTTGATGATATAACAACAACGTACCAAATCTTGAGCAGTTTGTTAATGCCAAGGGAATTCTTTTTTTTTTTTTTTTCGTATCATGCCATATTTATGGAATGCCTGTGACACAGGAAAATACTCTGGATTGCTTGTTTACATGGCTAAAAAGTATTGCCTCTGACTTTTTTACTCCTAAACCAACCATGAAAATAATTATTTTTCTAATCAGTTCAGTTTGTGAGATTGCATAATAGGTTGTTGATTATAGTTAATTTTGATAACACACTATGGGACATTGCAAATGGTAGTGGAGCTCGAAACCTCTTGTAGGCTTAAGACCTAAGAGCAGTCTTTCGTGCCATTGAAAATATTATTTTTAAGACAACTATGATCAAACTCCCATTCCTAGTATTTCACTTAGGTGGGATCATATCTGTTTTCTGGTCTTTTTAATTTGTCTTACAGCAACATGTAAGTTTAACCTTGTAACAGGCCATTTAATCATTGATTGTTGATCTATGCTAAAATTGGCTGTTTCAGGTAAATGTTTTAACACAAAAATGAAGTGACCCTTACTCTTGCATAACTTGCTAAGATAGAAGAATTGGAAAAAGTACATAAAAGATTGTAACTGTTCTGGACAAAATGCTTAGCTTATAATTGGAATCCTAATCATTGGCTGTTTATCTATGTTGAAACTGGCTGTTTATCTATGCTGAAATTGGCTGTTTTCAGGTCAATGTTTTAACTCATACAGCTGAAGTGCCCTTTAAACCTGAAGATCTTGCTGCAATAGAAAACTTGAAAAAAGCGCACATAAAGCAAGATCAAAGAGAAATTTTTGGAAACAATCAGCTTGCAGAGGAAGATGTTGATGGAAAAACGCATGGTGGTTTGTCTGGCAGCTTGCCTACAAATGCCAAGGAAGCTGGGGCCGTTGAAAACCAAAATGAGGATTCTGGGTTTAATGATAGTTGTTTTTCAAAGAAATCAAAGCTGAAAAAGAGCATGAGCGTAGAAGTCTTTCAAGGTATGAGGGCTGAGCCTGAGAGTGACGTGGAATTTACAGTTGATGTTGATTACCAGAAAGTGGAGTCTAATTTAGTTGAGCATACCTTTTCAGAAAAATCAGAGCTGAAAAGTAATGACTTAGAAGTTCAGAGTAGATGCATTGAGAATGTCCCAAATTGCAGAAATGAGTCGGAAGGTCCAGATGAGGGAGGTGCTATTTGGGACATTTTCCGTCGAGAAGATGTTCCTAAGTTGCAGGAATATCTTAACAAGCACTTCAAAGAATTTAGGCACATACACTGCTGCCCATTGCAGAAGGTATTTGTGTATGTAAACAATAAATTCGGCTATGCTATTTTTCACTGAAATGTGTCTTTGTTATAATTTTTATGTTTGCTTCTTACAAGGCTTTGAGTCAATCCCCTAAAACTTGCCCCAAGTACGAAACGTTTATTGATAACTATAATTGATGATTGAATGCGTGACTTTTATCACTTAAAATTGCCCAAGCATTGCACCTTTTTTTAAAATAATTATTCTGCAACTACTACTCTGAACAGCAAATCTAGCATATTCTATCTAAAGGCTTCCAGTAAGAGACATTTTGAAGTTTAATAAAATATGATAACTAATCAGAGTATTGCTAGATGACTGCATGTATTGTTGTTACCATTGTCCTTTTGGCCTTTTTGTCATGACTAATGTTTTTTCTTTTGTAGGTTGTTCATCCTATACATGATCAGACCTTTTATTTGACTCTGGAGCATAAGAGGAGGCTGAAAGAGGAATATGGTTAGCCATCTTATTTTTACCATCTGCAATATTAGAATTATTTATTCTTTTCTCTTCAATTCAAATTTGAGGTTCTAGTTATGTATTAATATACTTTGATACAGGCATTGAGCCATGGACGTTCGTCCAGAAACTTGGAGATGCAGTCTTTATTCCTGCAGGCTGTCCTCATCAAGTGAGAAACTTGAAGGTAAAGTAAATTTTCATTTGGCAACTTAATTGGAATTATGACTGTTCCGTAGGCACTGCTCAAATTTTTATCATTTAGCTTGTAATATTTTGTTATTTGATGAGGTTTTAGTTTAGCATCTGTTTGTTATGCAGTGCAAGTGTCTTGTGTATTAGAAAGGCATCTGTATCAGAAATTATATTTTTCAAGTCGTAACTGTGTATGACGTGGTGTTAACTAATTTTTGGACATCGTAACTGTTTGAATGGGAGGGCACTTTGAAGCATCATAGGATGCCTCTGAATTTACAACATTTGCATTTGCTATTTTCATGCCCAAGTAACTCCATATGTTTATTTATGTTGTCAATTGGTTTGCTCTTGGAGGTACGTGTTCATATGCATAGTGAAGTGACTAATTGTCTTTCTCCGATATTGACAGTCATGTATAAAGGTAGCAATGGACTTTGTTTCACCAGAAAATGTTGGTGAGTGCATTCGTTTGACGGAGGAATTTCGTGTGCTTCCCCCAAATCATCGGGCTAAGGAAGACAAGTTGGAGGTATGAGTTGTCTTTACATTGTAGTTCTTTCGTAAGATGCATTTTATGTTGCTTTTTAACAGAGTGGTGATAGGAACTGTTGAAATGATATTGATGTGGTGATTAATATCCCATGGGCCAAGTTGCTTGATTTGTTGGTATAAGTTTCTTTGGATAGATGTGTTTTTATCTTAGTGTAGTGTGCTTTCCCCCTCCTTTTCCTTTATCCAGTTTCATATGAAGGGAAATGTTCTTGTACCCTCATAATTTGCTAGGTAGGTGGCACCTTTTCAAATTTTCTTTTGATATTTTAATTCTAGAGTTAATGTAATACAACCTTCAAATCTAGATTGCATGGCTAGTGAATGATAAGTGTGAAGTTATAATGGCACAACTAAATAAGCCTTGCCGGTTATCGAATTGGGATTCTGGTTTAACAAGCTGGCGGTTCATGCCCTGAAATCACTGAATTGGGACTGGAACTGGTTCTAAGTTTCTGATTCTGGTCCATGCTGGTTCTAGGCCCAGAAAAAGCCGGTTGCTTCTGTCTGGTTTTTCCTACCTTTTACCTTTCCTTGAAATAACATGATTTGGGACTGAATCTGATCATAACTGTTGGTTGAACTGATGGTGCTAGGATGATTCTGATCTCAAAACTTTTGGGGAGGAACTGAAACTGGAACTGATCCCTCCCGGTTCTGGGTTGAACTGGTCTGCTAGTCAGCTATGCTTCTAAATTTACTGTGAACTTGTATAGAAATTCAACTTCTTCCTTTTCCTTTCATCATTATATAAATTTCCACTGAAATGAGAATTTAAAATTCAATTTTTAAAAAATAATTAGGTGTTTTTTTTTTGCATTTTAAAAAATGGCTATTTCACACTTCTATCAATTATTAATTTTTCCCTATAAAGTAGTTAGAGGCTAGAGCAACCTTAACAAGTTAATCAAAAAACCTTCTATTTTAGAATTCTTGACTTTTTAGTATTAGAATGCCCTTTTATATGGATCAATGAGTATTCTAGTTAAGAAATTCCAAATCTCATAAGAAAACAAAAATGAAAACTTTAAAATTCATAAGCAAGCTACTTTTCAATTGCTAAATGTTAAACAAGAAAAAGTAAAATTAATAACATGTGATTAATAGCTTAGTTCCTATCCAAAGCCATGCATTAAGATTTTAAAAAATATCATTGATATGAAGAAAGTGATCTTGTTTCAGATTTCTTTAATAAATATGTCCAATAGAGATGCCATTGAAACATAACTATTAAGATTGGATCACTTGTTTTTGAATTCTATTGCTACATAACCATGCATTAGCTCCCTTTCCTGTCGCCTATGCTGTCCTCTCGAACATATATCTAGAATGTTTTGCTTATGATACCATATTGTTCATAACCTTCGTTCAACTTGTAGCATTAGTGATGCTTATCCAAATGTTACTTTCTTTTCATCATGTGTTGACTAGTTAGACTCTGGGCCTTGAAACAGGTGAAGAAAATGTATCTTCATGCTATGAAATGGGCTGTGGAAGTTTTGGAGCATGGCAAAGAGTGAGTGGCTAATGATACATTTTGAATTATACATTCATCTTTTATCTTGAGCATATTGCATTGACTGCTTCATCCTCAATTTTGTTTTCTTCATTTCCCGGCTAAACTATTGCTTATAGTAGTTATAACTGCATAGTCTTTATTAGTTTCTGATGATGCAACTCCAAATTAGCAGTTGTATTTTTCTTTTTTAATAGGATATGTTATGAATGGACAAGGAGCTCATTTCCATTATAAAGTTTGCTTTATGGTTCTAGTCTCATTAGGTGGGGATATTTCAAATTCAATAAGTGTAGTTGCTTCTTGAGGTTTCTATAAGAGTTGTGAGGTTTATCTAGGTTTATAGGCTATGGTGCAGTTTGGTTTGTGTAATATTTAGCTATGTTGACTCATAGAATCCTAGAATATCTTGTATATTGAATTTAAGAGGATTTTTAGGAAAATACTTTATTTTCCCTTTATTGCATCTTTCTTATTTAGTATAGGTTCAGGTATATTGCATCTTTCTTATTTAGTATAGGTTCAGGTATGTAAATATATATTTATATATATATCTTTGATGTAAACCACAAATACACAAGAAATAGAGAAAATCTTTCTCCCATACTCTGATATTTCAACATTGTATCAGAGCCATCCTGCCATCCTTTATTGGTAAAATTACAATAAATTACAGGCCTAGTTCTTTTAGGCTTTTTTGGGGCCAAGCTCCTCGGCATCTATTCTAGGAAGATCTAATTGTCACTGCCCACTTTGAGAAAAAAGGAAACCCACCGATCCTTGGAAGTTTTGTTGCTGTTCGGTGAAGCATGTGCTCTCATGCGTCGACGGTAATTTGTGACACTTCTTCACGTGCTGGCATGTGGCAATGTGTGGCTGAATTTCTAGGGAGTTTTTCCATTTGTTTCTTTCTTTGACAATCTTCTCTTAAGTGTTGTGCCTCTGCCCAACTTGGTTCAAGTCATTCGTTTTTAAATTTTTTTCTCTTTGGTGCTCAATTGTGTATTTCTGATTGCTGCCACTTTATTCGGCTACTTGTGTTTCCTGCTTTTTTGGCTAGTTTTGACTTATATATTCTTATATGATTTATTTTTGTATTGATTAAGCCAAATATTTGGTTTCATTATAACTAACCAACCACGTTGTATAAAATGCATTGGTACAGCATTTATGTGAGAGATGCTTATATCGCCCAAACTGTTACCTCTTTTTCATCATAGTGTTCGACCCCTTAACTAGACCTGGGCCTTGTATAAGAGTGTGAAGGACAAAATGTATCTCGATAGACTTCCGTAAAATGGGCTGTGGACGAGTATATATTTAGGATGTGCAGCAGAGCATATATGTAGTGAGTGGTCTATATGATTATATCAATGGAGATTTATTATCATTCCATCTTTTTAGTCCTTTGAAGCACCCCACTTGCACTTTGACTGCTTATTTCATGCCCTTCCAAGCTTCGTTATTTTTTTTTCGGGATCTAAACTATCTGCTTTATAGAGATTGATTTATATCCGAGTGACATACTTAGTTTTAAGTATTAAGTAAATTCTTGGTTTCGATAAATGATGCGACACCCTATAAACTGGTTAAAGGTCGATATACATTCTTGGCTTTCCACCATTTTTCCTTCAATTAGCAGTTTTTTGTATCACTTTTTTTTTTTTTCTTTTATTTTTAATTAGTAGTGGCTAATGTGAGTAAGGAATTATAGTAGTTGTATTGTATGGAAATTGGGACCATTAGCGAAGCACAAGCCTTTTCTATTGGGCCCATTTTTCGAAATAATCAAGAAAAATCAACTAGAGCTTGTGGTATTGGTTTCTATGTTCTGCGAGCTTCAGGATGAAATTATTTTGAAGTAGACTCTCTATTCAATTGCCCTATGCTCAGTGGAGTATATTTCAAATATGTATATTAAATAGTGTAGTTTGCCTTCTTGAAGAGTTGTTTCTATGATATAAGAAAGTTGTGAGGTTTATCTAAAGGTTTCATTAGGCCTCATCGCCGTTGCAAGTTTTGGTTTGTGTAATATTTATTGCTATGATTATGACTTAATTAGAAATCCATAGAATATTCTGTGTAATACCTCTCGAAAAATTTCTAATGAGGACCCATATTTTCTAAGTGCAAAAGTACTTTATTTTCCCTTTATTGCAATATATGTTCTATTAGCTACTCACGGAATTCAAATGGTATATTGCATAGTCTTCTTTAATTTTTAGTATATGTGTATTGGCCATTATAATTTAATTTAAATGTTATTCGTTATCGTTAATTTTGTTTTATACTGTTCAGTGTTTATGTTTAAAAGTTAATATTTATTATAATTATTATTATTCCCTTTGTGATGTTTTAATATCCACAAATACAATTCAAGAAATCACTGTATAGAAAAAATTCTTTTACTGCCCATGAGAGCTCACTGAACATATTTTCAACATGTGTATTCATATGATGCTCATATAGCCGCAGCCATAGGCTTGTATTGAGATAATTCTAATGAAAATTAGCAGGGCCTAGACGTCTCAAATTTTTAAAAGCGCTCTTTTTTTGGGGCCAATGCTACTCGTGTCAATCTTTATTCTAGGGAAAGATCTAATTGTCACTGCCCTGGCATTTGAGAAAACAAGTGAATCTTTCTTATTTAGTATAGGTTCAGGTATGTAAATATATATTTATATATATATCTTTGATGTAAACCACAAATACACAAGAAATAGAGAAAATCTTTCTCCCATACTCTGATATTTCAACATTGTATCAGAGCCATCCTGCCATCCTTTATTGGTAAAATTACAATAAATTACAGGCCTAGTTCTTTTAGGCTTTTTTGGGGCCAAGCTCCTCGGCATCTATTCTAGGAAGATCTAATTGTCACTGCCCACTTTGAGAAAAAAGGAAACCCACCGATCCTTGGAAGTTTTGTTGCTGTTCGGTGAAGCATGTGCTCTCATGCGTCGACGGTAATTTGTGACACTTCTTCACGTGCTGGCATGTGGCAATGTGTGGCTGAATTTCTAGGGAGTTTTTCCATTTGTTTCTTTCTTTGACAATCTTCTCTTAAGTGTTGTGCCTCTGCCCAACTTGGTTCAAGTCATTCGTTTTTAAATTTTTTTCTCTTTGGTGCTCAATTGTGTATTTCTGATTGCTGCCACTTTATTCGGCTACTTGTGTTTCCTGCTTTTTTGGCTAGTTTTGACTTATATATTCTTATATGATTTATTTCCTTTATTGTACATTGCCTATATAGTAGTAGGTTTATGTTTATATATACACCTAGATGTAAATCACAAATATTCAATAAATATAGAACCAATTTCTCCCAATCTTATTCTTGAAATCAACATGTTATTAGAGCTGGATGGGAAGTATTAGAAACTGCATAAACAAAGTCTTTACGGCAATAGGGCAGCTGATTGTCTTGTGCTATTAGAGGTTTTCTAGGTGGAGGTGAGTACACTGCGCCCTTAGAAGGAAGCCCAGACGCCGGCAACTTGCTCCTTGAAATCCGTTGACTGTCCGACCAAGTGCGTGGTCTCACACGCCTAGAGTAAGTTTCGGCCTCTCCCACGCGCCGGCGTGTGACCTTTCTCGCTGCTTTCCGCTCCGGTAGGATCAACTTGTTCTAGTATTTCAACAGGTCTCAGGGGTTGGCTGACTTTTCGGTGAGATTTTCCGATCGTTTCGTTTTCCGACAGCTTCATTTAGGTGTTGCACCTTTGACCAACCCAATTCAGATCTTTTATTCTGTGTTTTTTGTCCTTTTGCTGTGTATTTCGGACTGCTGTGTTTTTTCAGCTATTGTTTCTGCTGGGTTGCTGGTTAGTTGTGAGTCTATTAATATTTTTTGGTCGGTTTACTATTATCTAATGAATGGTGACGATATTAAAACCATGGAAAATGTTGGGAATCGCATGGACGATTGACTAGGGGTTGTGGTGGTAAAATGATGGATTGTGGTGGAAAAAGAATTGGTTCAAGTAGACCTATTGCACATCGAGCCGAAGTAGCAGCAGTACTTGAAGCATCTTCTGTTGGGAATTTCTCTGCAGAGATACAATTATTAAGCGTTTTTTGTCAAAACTTCTCTTCATCCACCGTAGTTACTTCTAATTTTGTGCGATTTGGTGTGACCCTACTTATTGATTCTGTTGATGATTCATGAGTTATAGATTCAAGAGCAGACATACATATGGCAAGCTCTTCTAATACATTTTTAACCTATTCATCTTGTTTGAATTGTTGATGGTTCTTTCTCACCTATTTATGGCACAGGTTCTATTAAGTGCGTATCCGCCATTAATTTAACTTCTATCCTTCATATTCCTAGTTTTTTTGTAAACTTTTTATCTGTTAGTGCCATTATGAAAGCCCTCAACTGCAAAGTTGATTTTTTTTCCGCTCATTGTGTTTTACAGGATCTGAGAACGGGGAAAACAATTGGCTTTGGTAGATTGCGCAATGGCTTGTATCTTCTCGAAAAAGGTTGCAGTCCTCCAGCTCCCGGTATCCCTCGAGCCCTATTAGGAAATCACGGTAAGACTAGTGATTTGTGGCTTAGGTAACTAGGACATCCTTCTTTTTTTAGTTCTGAGGAAAATATATCCTAGTCTTTTTGAGCATTGTCAATTAGAGTTTTTAAGTTGTGATGTATGTGAACTTGCTAAACATACAAGGAGTTCTTATATTTTCTATAATAATAGAAGTTTAGTTCCTTTCATGACTATTCATTCGGATGTTTCGAGTCCTACTGTTTCCTTATCTAGTTATAAATGGTTTGTTACCTTCATTGATTTTTGTAATAGATTAACTTGGATTTACTTGCTGAATTTAATGTGAGGGTTAAAATTTAAAGAATTAAATGGAACAAAGTATATGGTAGCATCTTTCAGGCATATTTAGACTCAAATGGAATCATTAATCAAACTAGTTGTGTGAATATGAGAGCTCAAATGGAGTGTTTAAAAGAAAATATAGGTATTTACTAGAGGTAGCTAGATCTCTTTTATCCACCATGAATGTTCCCAAGACTTATTGGGGAGATGCAGTGCATTCTGCAACTTATCTCATTAATAGGATGCCTCTTAAGACAATAGGATAATACCTCATATATTGTTCCTCCAAAAGTGTTTGGTTGTGTTAGAACCTAGAGCTTCGAAATGTTTATTTGTTGGTTATTCTGCCACTCAAAAGGGGTTATAAGTGTTATCATCATCTAACTCGAAAATACCTTGTGAGTATGGATACTTTTAGAGAGTGAGCCTTATTTCTCACCAACTACTCTTTAGGGGGAGATTAGGATAGAAGAGGAAGCTCCTTTAGCTCCTATTTTTGTATCTGTTCCTGAACAATTTGTGAATCTAAACACTAGTAATGAGCATGAAACAAAAAAGGGTAGACTTGATAGGCCAGATTTAAAGAGGTACGGTTGAAGAGAGAAGGTTAATGCCATCAGGCGTGGTATGCCTAGTCAACCATCATCTCTGCAATTAGATCCTGAAAAACCATCTAGTGAGTTATTATGTTCATTCACCCAAGATCTCGTCTGGTTCGAAAGCTAAAGCTTTTGTTTTGGATTTGTTCTTTCTTTAACCTGTGGTTGTTGAAAAGAAAAAGAATGTGAACTCGTTGGAAAGGGTGCTCTAACCTTAGACTCGTTAGAGAGTGTTTAGATCTGAATTTAGTTGATAATAATTGTGCTTGTTTTATTTCATGATTAAAGGCTCTAATTTAAGGAGAAATACAAGTACTAATTAAAGCAATCTTACTAGAATGAGATCTCCCACCATAAATAAAATAGGAAACTACTAAATGACAAGACTAGTAAATAGAAAGACAACTAAATAGGAAGATTATTACATAGGAGATCTTCTACCAAAAAGAGAAATAAGAAACTACTAATTAAGAAGACCACTAAATAGTTGACCTCCTACCAAAAATAAAATAGGAAACTACTACATAGGTAGACTAAACTGCAACCTGTCGTAATTGCATCTCTAACACAAGTCTTTTATAACTCCTAGTTCTAATTCTGATGCAATTCCTTCTGTTAATATTCTTAACTCTGAACCTGTTGTTGATGATGTATCTTCCCATTGCTCTCAAAAAAGGGGTTAGAACTTGCACCAAACATCTTATATTCCAATATGTTCTTATGACTATCTCCTTCCTATAGATCTTTTGTGTTGTTTGTATCTTCTGTTTCCATTCCACAGAATTAGTAGGAAGCATATTCAGATCCAAAATGGAAAGCAGCAATAGTGGAGGAGATGAAAGCTTTGGCAAAAAAATGGAACTTGGGAACTTGTTACCTCTTCATTGGGAAGAAATCAGTAGGATGCAAATGGGTGTTTACAGTAAGACACAGGGCAGATGGCACAGTTGAGAGGTACAAAGCCAGATTGGTGCTAAAGGGATTTACTCAAACTTATGGGGTGGACCATCAGGAGACTTTTGCTTTAGTTGCAAAAGCTGAACACTATTAGAGTCTTGTTGTCTTGTGCAACCAACTTGGATTGGAGCCTGCATCAATTTGATGTAAAAAAATATTTTTTTGCATGGTGGTCTAGAAGAAGAGTTTTACACAGATATTCCTCCAGGCGTTGATGATGAGAAAACCAAAGGTAAGATTTGCTGATTGAAGAAAGCATTGTATGGGCTAAAGTAGTCACCCAGAGATTGGTTTGATAGATTCAATAAAGCCATGATTTCCTTGGGCTATTCTCAAAGTAATGCTGATCATACGTTGTTCATTACACATTGTAATGGTAAGCTCACTTTACTAATTGTCTATGTTGATGATATGGTTGTGATTGGAGATGATGATGAGGAGATTGCTTGCTTAAAGAAATTGTTGGCTCACGAGTTTGAGATTAAGAACTTAGGAAGTCTGAGATACTTTCTGGGTATAGAATTTGCTAGATTAGATAAAGGGATCTTTCTCTTTTAAAGGAAATATATCTTGGATCTCTTGAATGAAATTGGCATGTTGGGTTGTAAACCAGTTGACTCTCCCATTGAAGTTAATCACAAATTGCAAACAGGAATGGGAGAATTGGTTGACTTGGGTTGATATCTGAGATTGATTGACAAGATTGATTTATCTCTCACATGCTAGATCTGATATAGCTATGTTGTAAGTTTAGCTAGTCAATATATGTATGATCCTCATAGTTCTCATCTTGAAGTTGTCTTTCGCATTTTAAGATATCTAAAGTCTGCTCCTGGAAGATGTTTACTTTTCTCTAAGCATGGTCACCTTAAAACTGAAGCTTTTACTGATGCTGACTGGGCTGGATCACTAGATGATAGGAGATCAACTTTTGGTTATTGTACCTTTGTTAGAGGAAACCTAGTTACTTGGAGAAGTAAAAAAGCAAACTGCAGTAGCACGTTCGAGTGCAGAGGTGGAATATAGAGCAATGACTCAAGGGGTTTGCGAACTGTTATGGCTAAGAAAGATAATGGAAGAATTGCGACTGCTAAAAGGAGGAGGTTCGACTTTGTTCTGTAACAACAAGGCCGCCATTAGTATTGCTTAAAATCCTATTCAACATCATCGGACAAAGCATATAGAGATTGATGGACATTTCATCAAAGAAAAAAAAATCATCCAGGGTGTTTTGAAGCTTACTCATGTGACTTCGGATAATCATATTGCAAATGTTCTTACTAAAGGGCTTAACAATAAACAATTCCATAATTTGATTTGCAAGTTGGGCATGTGCAATATTTATGCATGTGTATATTTCCTATGTAGTTGTAGGTTTATGTGTATATATACGCCTAGATGTAAATCACAAATGTACAACAAATATAAAACCAAAATTTCCCAAACTTGTTCTTAAAATCAACAGTTAGTTATGTGTCTACCCCTATTTTTTAATTTATTATTGTTAATGCATCATGGGTATTGAGACTGAAGTACAAGAACCTAAGATGTTAGAAGCAAATATAGGCTTTTCTCATGATAATCCCTCTTTACAAATATGTCTAGCTAAGCTTGATGTACTAATTATCTTGCTTGGTCAATGTCTTGTTTGGTATTTATTAAAGCTAGAGGATTGCGGAGTAATCTTGCTGGAACTAAAACCCAACTTGAAGTAACCAATCCAATCTATGATAAATGAGATTTTGAAAATTCCCTGGTGATGTCTTGGCTTATTAATTCTGTTAAGGATTAGTTGTAAATAGAACTCTAGTAGGAGTTAGATTCCTAATAGGTTTATAGTTTATTGTTTGTGTATATATTTGTGTCCCTATTGATAAATTAAATAGAGGAAAATATTTTTTCCACATTAAATTTACATGGTATTAGAGCCCAGGGCTCTTTAAAGTTGATTTTTCCCGTTTGCATAGAAAATTCCAGCGCTCCCTCAAAATCTGGTCACTGGATTCCTTGCGCGTGGTGCCTGTCAGTGTTGGTCACCATTCTAGGGTCACTGTTTAGTCTCATCGCCTACTTCAGGAGCTGCTCCAGCTGCCGACCAGCGTTCCCTCAAAATCCGGTCACCGGATTCATTGCCACGCGCCGATACAAGTTTTTGCTATAGTACCATGCGCCGGTGCATTCAGTGATCGGAAATTGCTTTCTGGCTTCGTTTTTATGTCAGCAGTCTACTCAAATAGTTGTTTTTTCGATCCAGCGAAGTTTTGGTAAGGGTGTTCTCAGTTCTGTTAATTTGGCGTTTCAAGTTACCTTTCGCTTCTGTTTGCATTGAAAGATTTTTTTTTTTTTTTTTTGGTGTCTCTTTCTGCATTGTTGGTAGGGTGTTTAGTTTTTATTAATAATGGATCCTAAACCTACAGATTCTAAAACTACTATTACTGAATTGATCCCAGCAATGAATAATTTTCGCTTCTCTGTTTGCTATTGAAAGATTTTTTTTTTTTTTTTTTCTGGTGTCTCTTTCTTGCATTGTTGGTAGGGTTGTTTGTTTTTTATTAATAAATGGATCCTACCTACCAGATTCTAAATACTACTTATTACTACTATTACTGAATTGATCCCAGCAATGAATAAAATCACAGAACATAAATTGAAAGGAACTAATTATTTAGATTGGAGTAAGACAATTCGAATTTATTTGTGAAGTGTTGAAAAGATTATCATCTAATTGATGATCCATCAACTGGTGACACTAGGCAACGTTGGCTCAAGGAAGACGCTAAGTTATTTCTATTGATTCGCAATTTTATTGTCAGTGAAGTGGTTGGGTTAATCAATCATTGTGATTTTGTTAAAGAATTAATGGAATATCGTGAATTTTTGTACTCGAAAAAGGTAATATGTCTCGTATGTATGAGGTCTGCAAAGGATTTTATCGGGCCGACCAGCAAGATAAGCCCCTTACAGCTTATTTCATGGAATTTAAGAAGATTTCGAGGAACTTAATGTTTTATTGCCTTTTAGTCTTGATGTTAAGGTTCAACAGACGCAGCGAGAACAAATGGCTGTGATGAGTTTTCTTGCAGGTCTAGCTCCAATTTTTGAAACTGCCAAATCACAAGTTCTTACGCTCTCAATTTTTTGAAAA